GTCTTCTGTAAGAACAGCCAATGTTCTTAACCGCTGAACCATCTCTCCAGCTCCAAAACCTTTTTCTTCTATACAAATCTTTCAATTATTAAGAAATTTCCAGAGTAAAATAAGGATCTCAATATTACTCATGAACTATTGTTTTGATATTTGACTGTTTAGAATTTGATGATAGTGTGTTCATGTTGAACAGTTATGTTTTTAGATGTGTTTCCAAATATTAGTACTTTTCCTCTCTCAAACTTTTTATGGCTTCATAATAAAACCAGCAACAAATTAATGTATCTGCCACCAGAGTGCATACTGCTTATTTAATTTTGACCGTTTGATTTCTTTAGGGAACACAGAGCTTAAATCCCCATAATGATTACTGCCAACATTTTGTAGACACTGGACATAGACCTCAGAACTTCATCAGGGATGTCGGTATGTCAGATTTATTTGGACTATCCTGTTGTGAGTTACTGATTATGTGTATGTCATTTATGCATTTTATAGATTATTTCTAATAAAACTGTTTTCCAAGCTTAACTTTCTTTTTACCTTCTGACTGACCTCTTTACAGAGTATAATTCAGTGTTCTTTCAGTATGTGCAGAGCCTTCTTGGCAGCCACAACAGCAGTCTGTTTTAAAATATTTGCTTCTTGGGGCTGGAGAGATGGCTCAGCCATTAAGAACACTGGCTGCTCTTGAAGAAGACCTGGGTTCCATTCTCATCATCCACATGGCAGCTAACAACTGTCCATAATTCCAGTTCCAGGGGATCTGAAGGCCCTCTCCTAACCTACGAGGGCATTGCATGACATAGGTACATTTACATACATGAAGGCAATACACTCACGCACATTAAATAAAAAAATAATAAAATAATACATTTGCTTCTTCCCCAAGGAAGCTTAGTACCCATTACCATGTGCACTACATTCCTTCTTCCCACCTGCCCCTCAGGCATACGAACTTACCTCCTTTCTTTCCTTATAATTCTGGCTATTCTGGACATTTCACATAAATGGACTCATACAATATGTGGTCTTTTGTAACTGGCTTCTTTCACTTAGCATAATGTTTTCTAGAGTCATTAATATTATGGCCTGTATGAGAACATTTTTTATTGCCAAATATTCTGTGTGTGAAATATATACCCATGTATGGACATGCACACATGCGTGCAGACACACACGTTGTTTATCTAGTCATTTAGCTTTGTATTTCTAAAATTTTGTGAACAGATTATTGTGGTATTTGTGTGAAAGTTTTTATGTGGCGTTCTCATTTTTCTTTGGCACGTATCTAGAAGTGGAATTGGTGGGTCATGTGTTAATTCTTTTTGTCAGCTTTTTTTTTAATGTGTTAATTCTGTGTTTAACTTGTTTGCAGCACTACCCCAATGCTTTTCAAACCTGCTCTATCATTTTATATTCCTAAGAGTAGTTTGTAAGGATTCCAGTTTCTCAGCTTCTGTGTTACTTTTTTTTAACTACGCCGCCTTCGTGGGTGCTAGGTGGTATACCATTGTGGAGGTGTTCTGCTTATTTTTTTGTTTTATTTGGGGGGGTTGTTGTTGTTTTTGTTTTTGTTTCTTTTTTGAGTCACTCTCCCTTTGTACCCCAGGCTGGTCTAAAATTGTTGGCTATCCCAAATTGAAGATTCTTTTTGCCTGAGCTTCTGAGTAGCAGTAATTATAGATCTATGCCACCAGGCCCAGCTTCTATTGTGGTGTTGATTTACATTTTCCTGGTGACTGATGATACATTTAGCAACATATTAACTATCTAAATATCTTTGAATATTCAGATATTTTGCTTATTTCACAATTTTTCCTTTTTATTACTAAATTAAAAGTTTTATATTTTCTGTGTTGGTGTATATATATATTCGTTATGTATTCTGGGTATGAATGTCTTAGTGCACGATTTAAGATTTTCTCTCTGTTAGTTGCCTTTTTAGTTCCTTGATTGTATCATTGCAGCACAGAAATTTAAATGTGGTCTAATCAAATTTGCCACCTATAAGTATTACTCCTGAAGTAGACTAATTTAACTGTGACTTTTATGGTTTTTTTTTTTTTTTTTTTTTTTTTTTTTAGTAGTAAGAGTTGAACTCAAGGCCTTGTGTGTGTTTGGCAAGTGTGCTACCACAGAGCTGTGTCCTCAGCCCTATTTTATTTTATTTTATTTTATTATTTTGATACAAGGTCAGCCCAGGCTGACCATGAACTTGCCATAAGCCCAAGCAAGCTGTGTGATCCTCTTGCCTCTTAATGGCTGAGATTACAGGGAACGTGCTACTGTGCATGGCTCTAATTTTAATGTTTTTATAAGCAGAATTTGGAGATAGCATTAAAAAGTGACAAATTGTGTACCTCCATTTTAATATAAACCTTCCTGCTCTTAAGGTACCTGCTTTCCAAGGCAAAAAAAAATGTGCTACAGATTGAGAAAAAATTTACTTCACTGATGTATTTTGAGTCAAATGGAGATTTGTTCAGAATAAAGGACTAAAACACTTTATGTTGAAGCACCAAAGAAAACAAGTATATTTTTTATGATAATACGATAAAAGAAGCTGGAAAATGAGACTTAGAAAAGGTGCCTGGTTTGTCCCAAGACCTTAATGCCAAGGGACCGGAAAGAGGGCTGATCCCCACGTTTCAGACTTGATACCACAGATCTGTTCATCTGTTCATGGAGGAAGATAGATACGCTTCAGATTGCTTCAAGCTATACTTTCTATTTTGTAGATGATTAGAAACTAACTCTGTTGTGTTAAAACCTGACAATCATAAAATCTTCAAGAGTGTCAGACACCCTGGAGCTGGTGTTACAGGCTCACAAATGTGAGCTGCCTAATTAGGATGCTGCGCTCCCCTGCTGAGCCATTTCTATAGCCCCCCGCCACAACTTTTGAGGGGTGTTTTGTTATGTTGTTTTGAGACAGGGTCTCCTTGTAGCCCCAGCTGGCCTGTAACTTTCCTTGTAGACCAGGATGACCTTGCTCTCAGAGATCTGCCTGCCTCTGCCTCCCAAGTGCTGAGATTAAAGTCATGTGTCACCACCCCCAGCTTCAAGTTTTTGGTTTTAAAATTAAGATGTTTACATAATTTATTTTGTGAGCATTGTTTCTTGTGTGAGGAAAACAAAAGAAATGATAGAAAGGAACTTCTAATTTTAATTTAAAGTTGCAGTGAGTGTGTGTGTGTGATTTTTTTTTTTAGGAAGACTCAGACCTTTTGTATTCATTAATGCTAGCTTCAGTTGAACTGAACTTTAGAATTTGCTGTTTCTTTCCTCCTTAGGTCTAGCTGACAGATTTGAAGAATACCCCAAACTAAGGGAACTCATCAGGCTAAAGGATGAGTTAATAGCTAAGTCCAATACACCTCCTATGTAAGTAGCCAGTGCTTTTTGTTTCTACCTCTGCCTTAACAATCAGTCTCTTTACCTTATACTATAGCCTTCCTCTAAAGACATCTACCTGAGATTCAAGATGTTCCTACTCTTTGTTTTAGTAAAATACATCAGTTTGAATCTCTGCAGCCCAAGCTATAATAACTTCTTGTTTAACTTTCCAGATAATTTGTGAGGCTTGTGAACTCTTTGATGGATAAGTTGATTAGCCTGTCTAAGCCTCAGGATCTTCATCTCTAAAATGGAGATGCTGTCTCTTGGGGCTGGGATGAGAAGTAACTGGAATAACACTTAATTGCCTTGCCAAGGCCTGGCGCCCACTTCATCATCTTGCTTCTTGGCTTCTGAGTTTGTAAATCACTGCATTCCTAGGGCAGGCCCTCACCACTCAGAAGACCTTGTTGTGGGGTGGGGGGAGGCTGGTCCTTCACATGTGGCCTAGATGACAGGAAATTCTGTTTCCATAGATGGCAATGAGAAAACCTAGCCTGTGAATTTTCACTCTAAGCATTAAAAGCTCCTAAGTCCTCAAAAACAAAAGGGAAAATTCCTACTTTTAAAGAATCTTGACCTGGGGGTTGGTGAGATGGTTCAGTCAGTAAAGGTGCTTACTGCTCACTCATGCAGACCCAGCAACCCAAATTCAGTCTCTGGGACCCACTTAAAGGTGGAGGGAGAAAACCAACTGTACAAGTTGTTTTTTACCTCCTTACATAAATAACCGTGGCCTATGCCTCCCCTCCAGTAATAATAAATAAAATTTGCTTTGGAATGAATTCTTCTGTATGAAAAAAACAAAACAAAAACAAACAAACAAGTATCTTCTTGAAGTCCCTCAAATTAAGGTAAAGAATAAGAACAAATCATTCTGGAAGAACGCAAAGGAAAATAGCTTTAGATACTTAAGTGACAATAGAATTTATTCTCATAATTGTTTTAATAGCTTTGGTATAATCCTCATCGCTATTATGAGATATAAAATGTATTTATCAAATCTGTAATCATTATGCCAAAAAATCTGAATTACTGTAATATTTTGCATATTGTTAAAACTGTAACTTTAATTGTAAAAAAAAAAGTTCTTGAAGAATTAATAAATGCATTAAAAAGTAAAAAAAAAAATTCTTAATATATCTTGAACTTAAAATGCTTTTATACTGTGAAAGTAACTTCATTACTTTATTAAAGGCTGGTGGCAAGTTTCATTAGTGTGAAAAGACTATTAATGAAGACATTTTTATTAATGAATAAGCTAATAAAATCAAATTAATTCCATGTTTAGAAACTACTTTTAAAGGAGGAATTTGAAACTTAAGAGAGAAATGTTTTTTCTAACCTAATTAAATAATAATAATAGTTCTTATAAAAAATCAAATGAAAATAGGTTATAGATTCACATCTGAGTATAGATTTTCAGTGTAAAAATAAATGAAGCATACATTCTAGATGTACATGGGGAATAATATGGTTTTTGTTATAACTTGTCCATATCCTAAGGAAGACATTGGTTATTGATATAATGTCTATGATAACCCACTATAAAAAGCTATTTAGTAATTAGTTCATAGTTACCATATAAATAATGGTTTGCAATAATTAACCAATAATACTGGATAAGAATTTCTTTCATATAAAATGAAAAGTATTTAAAAAACATTTTTTCTTTGTTAGGTACTTACAAGCAGATATAGAAACCTTTGACATCAGAGAATTGACACCCAAATTTGATGTGATTCTTCTGGAACCTCCATTAGAAGAATATTATAGAGAGACCGGCATCACTGCCAACGAGAAGTGCTGGACCTGGGATGACGTATGATGGGCTTTCCACATTGTGATGAGTTACTTACTTTTCAAATGAGTACTTACTTATTTGATCAGAAAGTGGGATTTATAAACACCATTCCTGTGTTTGTATACCACATGCACATACACTGTACACACACACACACACCCTTCATTTTGGCTGAAATTACACATGTAGATTCCCAACTTAGAGCTGAAGTTCTAGAGCACTTTGACAAATGTTACACTGTCTTTAGTTCTTTTTGAGGCACAAACCAAGCAGATAGTGAGTAGACTACAGACGACGCATCATCCTTTTCTTTGAGTTCTTTTATGTATAGCCAGAAAGAAAAGCATGCAGAATGATTTATAACTCATTTAGCACTTGATTAGTTTCAGTAAACATCAGAATGTGTGTGTGCAACATGATTTCTGTTTTTTAAGGAACTTAGAGCTTAATTAAAGATATATGTGCGCATAATTTCAATATCCTAAATAAAGTTAACTAAGCCAATAGCTCCAATTTGTTACATGAAGTATCTCTTTATGCTCAATCACAAAAGTAATAAATATATCTGGAGTACCACTCTGTCCTGTGCCGTGTACTACAGTTCAAAATGTAGCACTTTACTTTAAAGCATACTCAGTTTAATGGGATGAACATGGATCTAAACCAGTAATTACAACTTAACGGTTCATTCTCGGAGGATGGCATAAGCTCTGAGAACGCTGACCAGTCTAGAAGATGGGACATAGGTGCATAAGTAGTTGGAATTGGGCAGGTGAAGAAGAATATAGGACGAAGAGTCTAACTGGAGGAACAGCAAGGTCAGAAGGGATGGAGACCTAAGACTCTGGCTTGTAGGTGGTGGAGCCCTTATATGGGTTATATACTGGGATATTCAGATTATTTCTTACGAACTTAGTCTTTTGTTTGGAAGACATTAAGATTTTGAAGGTTTTAACGAGGTTAGGAGAACATCTGAATGGTCCTATAGAATAAACCAGAGGGAAAGAAGTATGGAAAAAGGGCAGACACAGGCCTGGTAGTTACAGAACTGCAGGAGAGGATCCCAGCAGATGCCTCGGGACAAGCAGCCTCTGCCTCAGCCTCCCAAGTTGTCTGTGGATAGGCATATGTCACTACACAAAACAGATTTCATTTTATTTTGCCTTTGCCATTGGGCTCATTTAACCTTGTCCAGCTCAGCTGCTGCTGTGAGATCTGTCATAAAAGTCCATCATCCTGTAAATGTGGTTTCTGTGAACTGTTGCTGTGAAAATAAGCATGTGTCTGTTCGCAAATGATGTATATACTTGTATATAGAACAGTTTATTTTCTGTTCATTTCCTAGTGGAAATGAGAGTGTCTAAGAACACTCTAGAGAATCCTAGTAAGTCTCACTAGTTACTCTTTTGGATTTATGATGAATGGGAAGCAATAATTTTATGCTGTATTGTTTTGGTTTCCTATAGATTATGAAGTTAGAAATTGATGAGATTGCTGCACCTCGGTCATTCATTTTTCTTTGGTGTGGCTCTGGAGAAGGACTGGACCTTGGAAGGGTGGTAAGTTGGAGTTTTTTATTTTGTTTAAAAAAAATTTTTTTTTCAACTGGATTTTTAAATTCATTAGGAAAAAGCAGTATGGTACATACATTACAGGGTTGAAAGTTAATGTTACTTATTTCCTCTGTTTCTTGAATAGTTTTAAATTACCCAGTTAACTCTTAAGTCAGTTAACTGGCACTAAGTTATTAGTGTAGGTCCTAGGAAATATTTGGACGAAGTGGTTTGCAGCTCCAAATCACAGCACACAGATGAGCTGCCTCATTGACTGGTCTTTATGAATGGCTCAGAAGGGGTCTCCAAATAAGACTGATTCCTGTATTCTAAATGGAAGTAAAATTAAAGTAGAAAGTACATACAGCATGTTGAGCTCATAGTTTGAATGAATGACAGAAACAAACTCAATTTATAACAAACCTCAATTTATAACAAGAATCTTAGATTCCTTTTTATGTCAGAGCTTTTCTTTAGATTGTAGAAGTTTGCTGAAAGGAAACAAAATGCCACAAGCTTTTTTAAATAGTTGGGAAGTCTTCAATATGGTCTTAATTTAGCTGATATGAAGCAGTGAGACTGGAAATCACTTTCATCAAGTGTTACTACATGACGATTTCGGTTTTTAGAATGTATTGCTTGTTATACAGCAATATGTAATCATGTTGATTTGGTGAGGTATACATTTGACAAGTGAAAGATTCAAGTAGGATTATATGAGAAGTAGGCATATACTGAGGTAAAGTTTCCCCACGTGCTGAAATTCTACAGTTACGGTATATTTATATATGTCAGTAGTGAGTTCAGGGCTGTTTAGAACATCATTGCTTCTGGCACTTACTGACTCCAAGGTCAAACCAAGTACAGTCTGAGCACCTATATTTTTTTTCGTGATAGTTCTCAAAGACACTATTGAAAAGAAAGAGAAAGAAAAAAACGTAAGTTTCAGTGGGCACAGTGGCGTTTACCTTTGGTAAATTAGCTTTTCTCCTACCCCTAAATTCAGTTGAACATGATTAGAAAAGTTTGTCTTTTTCATTTATGAAGCAGTCTATCATATTGTGAAAACAGAGTTTGACTGAAATGAATATCCAGATAACTCAATGTGAGAACACCTCATGATCTTTTGGTAAACTGGTATGTTAGAACATACAGGGTTTTGGACATTGTGATAATGAACACACAGTACAGAGCAAATACTTAGCAACAGGAACAGATATGGTAGTTCTTGGTTTGCTTTTTTGTTTCAGGATTCACTTTCCATTTTTCATTTACAAGGTCACAGCCCAAAAAATACTACATGGAAAATTCCAGAAATAACACATTTTAAATTGCATACCATTCTCAATAGCATGATGAAATCTTGTATAATCTCAGGGTCACCCCGTCAACATATCTGTTCCATATGTGCTCCCTGTGCCTTAGTCACTTAGCTGTCTCTGTGGTCATTTTCCCTATTGAATATGAATATATGAGACAGGCCGCATTCATGTCACCTTTCACAGTGTATTGTAATTGCTCTAGTTTATTACCAGTTATTGTTGTAGATTTATATATATATATTTATATATATATATCTATAGATATATATTTATATAGTTGTATTCAGAACATATCATCCATGGATAAGGGACACTGCTCTATTGATCTTGAGATTGGGATTTTAAACTTGAAAATGAATATACTAAGAACATTTTGCAAAATGGAAAGCTCTACTTTTATGGATACTTGGTCAAATACCAATATATCATGTTAGACAGTTTATTATTCTCATCTGTTACTCAGCTAAGCAGGAGTGCAGCCAGTTGGTACCTCATGTGATAGATGCTCCAAATGCACTAAGCGGTGGCTTAGCCAGTAGCATTTGTTATACACTTAAATGTCCCAGATTCTGGAATACTAAGGATTGTATCTCTATTTTGAAAATTAATAAAAATGAAAGTACAATTTTAAGTCTGAACTTTCATAGTAGTTAGTAGTATAGTTTTATAGGACTCATTTGAAAATGAGAACTTATCAGAAAATTTCAAGTGTTTAGTTTTGTCACAGGATAGAGAAAAAATCAGGTATCAGGAATCATAGAACTTATCATGTGTCCTAGTTTGCTTTCTGTTTTATGATAAAACACTGACCAAGAGCAAACTGGGGAGGGAAGAGGTTCACTTCATCTTCATTCTTTGTAGTCCATCATCAGGGAAGCCAAGGCAGGAGCCTGGAGGCAGGAACTGAAGCGGAGACCCTAGAGGAATGCTGGTTACTGGCTTGCTTCCCCAGGCTTGGTCAGTGGTCTGGACCCTCCTGTATCAATTAGCCATCAAGAATGCATGTCCACTGGTCAGTCTGAGGGAGAGAATTCCTCAGTTGATAGTCCCTCTTCCCAGGTTTGTGTCAGGTCGATAAAAGCTAACTATGATACCAGATTTGAGAGTTTCTTGTTTTTTGTTTTTTTTCTTAAAACTGACAATAGAAAATAGTTCAGGTTGAAGACCCCTATTTTAAAGACTTGGGACCAGCTGGGTGTGGTGGCTGGCACATGCCTTTAGTCCCAGCCCTTGGGAGGCAGAGTCAGGCAGATCTCTGTGAGTTCAAGGCCAGCCTGGTCTACATAGTGAGTTCCAGGCTACAGAGAGACCCTGTCTCAAAGACAAAAAAAAAGACTGAGGACCATAAGTTTTTCAGATTTTAGAGATTTTATGTGTTGAGCAGCCCTAATCTGAAAATTTGATATTCAAATGCTCCAAAAACCCAATGATTTACAGGTAATTTTAGCATTTGAGATTTCAGATTTTGTTAGGAATGCTCTATCTGTAGTAAAGAAATGGGATATAGTGTAATCCTTTCAGTATTTTTATACATAACTGCATACTATAAACATCTGTTATAGTTTGGATGTGAAATGTTCTTACAGGCTTAGGTGTTTCAACAGCTGGTCCCTAACTAGTGCTGCTGCTTGGGGAGGTTGTGGAACCTTTCGGGGGTAGAATGTTGTGTGGCTTTCCTGGGGCAATGTGAGTAAATTTCTGTTCACTCCAGATAGGGCATTGATGACAGACCAATGAGATGATTCCATTCAAGCGTAGCTGAATGAACCAGTGAGTTTACTCAGGTTGTGTACAGGAGGGTGGGGGGCTACAGATGAGTAGGTGACTCAGGTAGTTGCATCACCAGAAAGCCTGCCTCAGCCTGGGTGTTGACTGAGGAAAGCTCCATCCCTGAAGTTCTCTGCATGACTTACCAGGCTTTGCTGCTTAGAGAATCCTCTTTCCCTCAGTAGTCCTTACTGTTTATATAATCTTGGAAAAGGGGCCTTGCGGATCTTTTAAGTTTCAGGAACTTCTGGTGACTTGCGAATTGTTTACTTCTTGAGCCTTGTAAGTTTTCTTTACTTGTTGAGTCTTAAGGGAGCCTTTCTCCAGGATGGAGATTCATTTGGGAGGAAATGACTAGGCAACCCTGGGCCTAGCTGGAGAAAAGGAGTTGCTGGTAGGCTGACTTTCCGGTGTTTAGCCCAGTCCCATTCTGTGCCCTGGCTCAACTTCCTGGTCCACAGCAATAGGAGTAAGCAACGTCACACGTGTGTCATCACAGATGAGCTCACACGCCTTCTCTGCTGTGTCGGACTGCGCTCTCAAACCATGAACTGACAAACTAAATCTTTTGGCCCTTAAGTTACTTCTTGTCAGATATTTGGTTACATTGATAAGAAAGTAGCTAATGCAATGTCCAAAAGGTGCATTTAAATTCTATATTGTGCCTGCATACAGTGATTGACATTTCTTCTGTATCTACACTAAAACAAAATTGCTGTGATACTATGAAAGTTAGTGTCCCTCTAGGAAACTTCTTAATTCTGGTTATTTTAAGTATTGTTCATTTCTTTAAGTGAAGTATTTCTTTTTCAAATTATTTTATTTCTAGTGTTTGCGTAAGTGGGGTTACAGAAGATGTGAAGATATTTGTTGGATTAAAACGAATAAAAACAATCCTGGAAAGACAAAGACTCTGGATCCCAAGGCTGTTTTCCAGAGAACAAAGGTATTGCCTTCATTATTTTCTTTTCTTTATTCTGTCAAACTGTATATGTGAAATTAATTCCAGTGGCTAGGCTCTTTTCTTAAGCTTGGCAAAGTAGCATTGAAAAGCATATCAAAGTTAGTTCAGAAGTGTTTCCTTCACTGTCTTAGCTCAGTGTCCACCTTGCTAGAAAGTGGGATTTCAGTTTGTTGTGAGTTGACATACTTCTTTAAGGCATGTGCTCTAATAGCTCTGACTCCCAGAACTTGTTCCTTTCTCTGAGCTCAGAAAGAAGAACTGACAGCGGCACTCAGTAGCTGTCCGGTTGGGTCATGTTTCTTTCATTGTCCCTTCTTTCTCCTCCACAAGAGCCACTGAAGACTTACGCTCTTTCTGACTGCGCCTTGCTAGTATCATGCTCAAACAGCTTTTGCTGTTTGTTGGTGGCAACATTTCTTACTAAGTCTTTTGGACTAGGATCATGTCCACATAAGGACAGGGTTTACCATCTCCAGGCTGGTGAAGCTGTGGAGTTGCTGAAAGCATGCTAGAGATGGCCTAGACTTCCATCCTCCTAGCCCCACACCTCACCTTCTGCATCCTTCCTGTCTGGCTTTTCTTAAGTTGCATTCTTACAGTAACCATGTCATAGTAAGTAGAACACTTTCCTTAATCTCATGAGCCACCCTGGCAGATATTTCAGCCCAGGAGGGTCATTGGCACATCCAGTTTATAGCTTATTGGTCAGAGGTGGAGATGATTTATATCTGAAGCTGCAGAGCCATCTTAGGAGACTGAGCCTTTAGCCATTTGGTGTGGGTGCTGCCTCTCTGGTTTGGGAAATGCCCACATACCTGGATTGGACATGAAGGGGGTTCTGAAGGTATCAGGTGCTCTGAGAGTATTGAAGAAAATACTTGGTGTTTCTCATTTACCTGGAGATCTTCTCACCTCCAGAGATCCAGGCTCTCCTGTCGTGTTTTTGCTAAAGATTCAGAGAGGTGAAGATTGTTTTAGAATTGAGGACATTGAAAATGTAAAGTGCTATGAAATGACTCTTGGTAGTAAGAGTGAACTGATCGGCTCCTTTTCTAGGAACACTGCCTCATGGGGATCAAAGGAACTGTGAAGCGAAGCACTGATGGAGACTTCATTCACGCTAACGTTGACATTGACTTAATCATCACAGAAGAACCTGAAATTGGCAATATAGAAAAGCCTGTAGAAATTTTTCATATAATAGAGCACTTTTGTCTTGGTAGAAGACGCCTTCATCTATTTGGAAGAGATAGTACAATTCGGCCAGGTAGGACCTTGGTTTCAAAAAAGACTGATGTAAGCCGGGTGTGGTGGCATACACCTTTAATCCCAGCACTCGGGAGGCAGAGGCAGGCGGATCTCTGTGAGTTCAAGGCCACCTTGGTCTACACAGTGAGTTCCAGGACAGCTGGGGCTACAGGGAGACCCTGTCTCAAAAAGACCGAAAAAAAGACCGATGTGTCCTTTGGGATGCGGGTGCTAGGGTGTAGGACATAGTGTTGTGAAAAGTAAAACTCTTGCATATTTGATTCCTCTCCTTTCTCTACTTCAAATATGAGCAGTTTTAGATTCACAGCAGAACTGAGAGGACAGCACAGATTTCCCGGGGTCTCCTGCTTCCACTTGCGCATTGCAAGTATCCCTTACCATCATCATACAGAGTCTGTAATTTACGTTAGTGTTGATGCTTGGTGTTGTACATTTTACGGATTTGGACAAGTTCATCTGCATATACAGTGCAGAATACTGCTGTAAGTCCTCTGTGCTCTGCTTTTTTTGGGCACATGATAATTATACATGTTTATAGTTACAGTGTGGCATTTCTGTACACATACACAGTAAGGTCCAGGTAATGGTGCATATATCGCCTCAGATGTTCTTTGTATTGGGAACATTTATATCCTCCATGCTCTTCTGAGATGTTCAGTTTGTTTCCAACAGAAGTTATCCTGTGTGTTAACCCCCCGGCTGTGCTGGACTCATTTCAGTCCTGTGTGTTCCTCCCTCCCATCATTCTTACCTGGCCTTCTGTAACCACTCTGCTGTTCTCTGCATCTTTCAGGTGAACTTTTGTTTCCCCCGTACTTGAGAATATGTGGTACTCACCCTTCTTTGCCTGATGTATTTCAGTTACATAGTGCCCTCCAGTTCCATCCGTATTGCTGCCAGTAATATAATTTTATTATTTTTGTGGTTGAATTTCATTATATATATATATATATATATTTGCTTTAACCTATTCATCAGTGGTCACGTAGGTTACTGACTGTTGTGAACAGTCCTGCAATAAACAAAAGGGCCGATGTTCCTTCACCATGGTGATTTCCTTTAGATAGTTGCCTTAGGAGTGGGATTTCTTGATTATAAGGAATCTTGTTTTTAAGAGACCACCATACTGTTTTCCATAATAACTATTCTAATTTACATTTCCCAATAATGTCTGAGTGTTCCCCTTTCTCTGCATCCTTTCCAGCCTTAATCATTATTACTATTTTTGTCTAGTTGATAATAATTCTGATGGAGTAAAATTCTAAATGGGCTTGGGTGATACCTTGTGGTTTTGATTTGTGTTTCCTTATGATTAATGGTGGTGTGTATTTTTCCCATATCCATGACTTCTTTGAGACATGTGTCTTCATGTCGTTTGCCCATGGAAAGATGGACCTTATGTTTTTTTGTTTTTTTAATGAGTGATATTCTAACAATATATGACATGAATGGCAAACAATGAAGATATTTTACAAAAGTTATAATCTAGAATGAGAAACAAGATATGACCATGATTAAATACCATGGATTCTATAACAAAGATCATTACTGTGGGTAATAAAGACATTTTTGTGAATACATTGAGGATTTGAACTAACCCCTAAAGAATCAATAGAAGAGAAAGCAAATAAATGTAATCTATTTTTTCATTCATTTCAGGCTGGCTCACAGTTGGACCAACACTTACAAATAGCAACTATAATGCAGAAACATATGCATCCTACTTTAGTGCCCCCAATTCCTACCTGACTGGATGTACAGAGGAAATCGAGAGACTTAGACCAAAGTCACCTCCTCCCAAATCTAAGTCTGATCGTGGTGGTGGAGCTCCCAGAGGTGGAGGAAGAGGGGGAACATCTGCTGGCCGTGGTCGAGAAAGAAATCGATCCAATTTCCGAGGAGAAAGAGGCGGCTTTAGGGGGGGTCGTGGAGGCACACACAGAGGTGGCTTCCCACCTCGATAACATTTCAGGACACTCTCCTTTTATTTCCCCTCTGGTCTTTATTGTGGAGACTTACTTTAGAGCTCACCCCCAGCTTGCACTTTGCTTTAGAGTCTCATGCTGTCCGGAAGATCTTAGCCAAGCCACCCCCCACACCCCCAGGTATCACACAGTCCGCATAGCGTTCAGGGCAAGTGAGGGATCCTACTTGGTCGTCGTGTGCTGCTGAGCAGAATGGAACAAGGTGAGTAGCTCCACCTCCAACACTGGCTTTATTCTGATCCACTGCGACTTTGCTTCTAGGAACTAGTTGAACAGTGGAAAGGTCTTTCGTGGGCCACAGAAATGCTGGTAAGAGTTTATTAACTGTGTGTCCTTGCCACTGTCGCCATGGCAAATGGGAAGTTGGGAATGTGGATAAAGCAGCATTATAACAGGTGATCAGCCTCCATCACGGTTTAACATTTTTTTGTTGAAACAGTAAAAAAACTTTTTTTTTTTTTTCCAACTTTAAAAAATTTAAAGAATAGCTTCAAGTATAATTTGGGTACTGAAGACTTAGACTGAACAAAATGACTTTCAGATCTTATGAGGGGACACGGCGCTCTCAGGGGTAGGTAAAAGAAGAGGTAGAACTTAGTAGATTTTAAAACACAAACAGAACAGCTTATCAGTGTCAGTTGTAAAGCCACAGATGAGTCTTCATGCTTCCTAAGAAGCAAAAGGAGAGCACAGCTGTGCCGAGGACGTGGACTTGGACTGACTTTCAGAGCAGTTTCATGTTTCTTAGCAAAATTGACAAAGGTAACCAAAGAAATACCCGTACCCAGGGGTTTGGTTTAAATATTTTGGGGAATAAATGCTTGGTGATAAGGAAATGGCATGCATCTTTAAACTTGTTTTTTAAAAAATTGTTAAAGTGCTTACAGGAAACCCACAGCTTAAAGGCACAGCTTGGACGTGGACCTGCAGTTGCCTTTCCTTAACACCACGTGGTGTGTCTGTGCGCTGGCTGGTGGTGCAGATCTGTCAGTTGTACGAAGCTTCATGCCTTAACTCATGTTTAACTGGATTTGTTGGATATGCTGAATGAGAAAATAGCATTGTTCTTGGCAATACTTTTTTAGTTGGTATAAATTTTCTAATAAAACTAAACTTGAAATTTGTGAGTTCATTTTCTGTAAATGGAATTATTGTTACCAAATGAAATGGACCAACCTAAATGAAACTTTTCTTTTGAACTGTACATTTTAGTGGTACTCAGTTATCTTGTGTCTAAAACGACCTTGTATTACATCCACCAAAGACACAATCTGGAGACAGCCTGAGAGGGTAGGTTCCGACCTCCAGTGTAGCAGCTCTGATCTCAGCAGACCGCCAGAGTGCCAAGTTCTGGCTTCCCTCTGGCCTCCCTCTAGCAGAGGGCCTGAGAACATGGGACTGCCTGAGAGCCCCAGATCCTGTCTCCACGTGGTGATAAGAGTTATGCAATTTGGGAGTCTTTTAGATAGACCCACTGAAGGGGTACCCCAGTTGCCTCACCCTGCATCCGTGTTCAGCATGGAAGAAGCCAGAGCCATCTGCGTCCCGATTCCCTATTGGTAATTTGGGTAACCTCTTCACAGGATGGTGTGATAAGAATAGGAGGTAGGAATTGGCTAGGCAGTTAGGGCAAAAAGACCCCAAAGAAAAGTAGCCAGTTTCTTGGCTAAAACTCACAATGTCCTTGGGTCTCGTCTCCTAGCAACATACTCCATTCCAACCAAAAATGTCAAAAGCTTTTATCTAATCCTTAAAAGATTTTAGGGTTACCTCTTCAGAGGGGGGGAAATGTTAAGAGTAGCAAAAAGCCCCATAAAAAATGAAGAAGAAAGAGTACATGAAGTTATCAGAAAAAAAAGTGATGGGGAGATACAGGAGGAGTTGGAGGGGAGGGAGTGGGTATGGATTTGATCAAAACACCTTATATGCGTGTATGAAATTCTCGAAGATTTAAAAAAAAAAAAAAAACACAATCTGAAGGACTGACTCCTTAAATGCTCAATGAATTTGACTTTCCCAGCCAGTTAATATTTCTAGTACAGAAAGCATTTAGCTTACACCTTTCTTGATGGAACTATCACAGGTGGTTAGAACATTTGCTGTACTGATATTTCTAATCTCAGTAATTATAAATTATCCAAGAGCAAAACTGCATCAGTCTTGACCAGGGAATAAGAGCGATGGGAATTCCATTTGCTCAGTGGCAGGTTCTTAGAAGTTCTGAGTAAGGAGTGACCCTTCCCTATGCTCCAAACCCTTGTGTTCCATATTCTGGGCCTAAAGGACAGCAACATCCTGGTGTTTACTTGGCCTGTGAGCCTGTGAAATCTGTTTTGCAGTTCATCTTACAGAGAGGTGGTGACTTTGCTGTAGCTTGGAACTTAAGTGCTCCCCAGCCCATCTAACATAGAAAAACTGAAAGAAAAGAGCAGGTCAAGGAAAAAGACGCAAGAGCCGAAGTCTCCATCCCTTTGGAAATGTGCTTTTAGCAGCAGGATGGAGTGGCGCCCTGATTCTGCATTCATTAAGGCTGGGCTGTGGGTTTATGGTAGAATGTTGTTCGTGGAGGAATGGGTTTCAGTGACAGTTGTTACTCCTGCCTCATCTGATTTGTGCTTCTTGTTTCCTGTTGTCACAAAGTTAGGTAGAAATAAAGTGTTAGTGGCTTCACTTACTGTATTTTGATAGTAAAAGTTGTGGCAGCAGCAGCCTACATTTTTCAGTTTAAAATTATCAGATTGCGTGCCTGGGGTCAGAGATCTAGGCGTTTCAGCCAGGTGCGGGTGTTTATCTTCCTGTGTCCTTCCTTTCCAAGAATGGGCATTAGGAGGCCCACAGTGCTGCTTGAGGAAGACTTTCTATTCTTTTTTTATTAAAAATTCTATTGAATGTTTGCGAATTTTATACAATGTATTTTTATCGTATTTAGACCCATCCCCTGTCTGTACCTCTCCTA